TGTTAAACATGGTAATACCTAGCATGTTTGTTTACCATGTGACAATATCAAATGTAAAGACCCATCTCATTTGACAGACACTTGACCCTCAACCTTGCGCGTTGTTACACTTGACACTTAAACTTGCGCGTTATTTTTTTGTTTTTTCGAACCGTTGAACCGAACCGAAACCCCGGTTCAAAGATCAAAAAAACCGCTTTGATGAACCAATCCAAAAGTGCAGAAACGGTTCGAACCACCGAACCGACAAAATTTTTCATCCGGTTCACGTCCCTGATTTTTACCTCGATTTTATTGGCTTGGGATGTAACTATGTAATAATGATGCGTCCAAAAGATGCAGCAATTTCCATTCTCAAGTTGCGTACTTACTGGCGGTCCGAATAAAAATTCTTTTAAATTCCGAATTGACTAATTGAAGATGGTGGGGCAAGGCCACATTTCATAAACCTCGTTTACTATTTTTTCAGCAAGAAGAAATTAGATAACACAAAAAAATTTAAGTACATAAATGCAAATAAATTAAAGAAAAAACTTTTCAATAAAACCACCACGCTTCTAACATCCTTAGGACCGGGTTGTAATGGAAGTAACTGACCGGAGTGAACTGTCTCATAACACTGGTTTACAGCAAAAATGTTCTATGGATGCACTATCCAATTCCCTTGTAGAGTTCCTCGGTGATTCCGAAAATCGAGATAATTTTTCCAATGGATAACTTTTCGAGATATATGCAATTTACGGTTATACAGCTTTAAAAAATAGTGGTTTCACTTAATCACGTATATCTTACGAACCAATTGAATAATTGTAATACGAGATGAAAGCAAATAAAATTCTCCATAAACCGTATATATGTATATAACTTTTTCCTCACCGTTTATGAGAAATTAATTAATCATTTCTGACAGGCTGACTGCCAAAACGTCAATTGCTTTGATAAGTACAAAGTATAATGTCCCATAACGCCGAAACGCATTCGAAAAGTTATCGAAACGCATCGCTAGAACAATGAGCGCATCAGAACAAAGTCGATGCTTCGTTTGTTTTTGGTAACCATTGGTGTTTTAAAAATGGAAATATTTAGAAAAATTGTTCATTGCTAAATTGAATATTTAAAATATGCAATGTATAAGGATGTAATGTGTCGCAACTATGCATATGCAAACAGTTTAAATACCGCAGTATAACAGTTTCCAAACAATGTATTGATCAGTGTTGCCGCGAATCATTTTTAGTGGTAGCCAAATTCCTTTAAAAAAAGGCTAAAAAAGAGCTAAAAAAGTCGTTGTGGCTAAAAATGGTAGCTAATTTTTTTAATTACATATACATATCACAGCGCACGGCAGTGCGCGCGAGTGTCGAAAGCAGCCACAGTAGCATGCTGAAATGACTCGCTTATAGTTTTCAGATTGAAAAATTTTGATTTCCATGGATTCTATGCCATTTCTACGAAAAGTCTTTTTTTCCCCATACAAAATACATGGGAAACTTTGAGCGCTTTGAGCGACCTCTAAATATATTTTAATTTTAAAATAAAAAACAGGGGTATATTTTTTTCGGTATAGAACAATCCTAGGGGGTGAGAGCATTAAATTTCCGACTTTACATTTTTTGGACCACCCTACTGTACATACATAAATTAAGTGGGGAGCAGAAATGAGTAAATCCTGATTTTTGTTAAATATATATTTCGTGCTTTAACCAATCCCATATAAAGCAAACTTTCTACGTTTATAGAGAGCTTTGAAAAATTCAACAAATTTTTGTTAAAATTTTTACCTTTTGCAAAGAAAATTAACAAATCAATGCCAGGTTTTATAAATTGTACTTTTTATATGAAAAAAAACCACAAAATAAAAAAAATTTAAAAATCAACGCGATTTTTCAGCCATTTCAACATTTTAATGAAAGTTTGTTTAATTTTCCAAAGCTCTGTATAAGGTTTGAAAGTTTTATTTATATGGCTTTGGTTAAAGCACGAACCATATTTTTATAAAAAAATAACAAACAAATTTTAGGTTTAAAAACCTTGCAAATATTTAAAAAAAAAATCACCATTTCCTCATTTTTGCAGCATATAAAGCATTGAAATTGATGTCGTTTAATATGTTAGCTTACCCATAATGTAATAAACAAAGTGAAAGCAATATTTGACGTACGCTTATTTTCGTATATTTGTTTACATTAACCCTCTTTCGGCTTAGGCTTGGAACCGAATTCTGAGATAGGGCGTTCTTCAACAAAATTCTGTTATAGGGTGTTTTTCAATACTTTCAATATGTTTTTCAGAATTTATGCGAGTTGCACTAGAAATTTCCTTTTTTCTCGATTTTAGCAAATAAATTAGTCATAAAACCGTATTTTTTTTGTGAATAACTATTTACTGATATTTACACATATAAATAGTATTGAGGAAGGTCTCAAAAGATTTCCCTATATATGTATATATGTATACATTATGATTAAGGATTCTTTCTCAAATTAATTACTTCAAATCAGGTTCATCTATTATTACTAAATTGGCGAAAATATAAATTTTATGCGAAACTTCACATCTGTTTGGCGCACTGCGGTTGTAGTTATTGGACGCTATTTTCACGATATGCCTTTGCACTAATGCATGTGAGAACATACCCACACTTTGATCATTACCTCTCCTCTGATGAAATAGCAGGCAGCATCTTTGATGGTACTGCATATGGATCGAGGCGTCTTCTCTTGGCATTAATACTTGCATAAATGATATCATTCGATTTGAAGTGCAGAGCGCAAACTTTCGATGATCCAGCTAGTTTAACACCACACGCATTCATCCAATCCCTTCCTTGTGTAACATCTTCCTCATTGTTGTGGGTGCTTCTGCATAAACACAAATATATGTACCATCCGTCCTTTATTTTAAAGGACAGTCCTTTATTTTAACTTCCTGTCCTGTGAAAACGTCTCTTATAAAATAAAATCAAAACCTTCGCCAGTTTGTTTCGCAATCGGTAATTTTTACACAATATATAAAGCACAGGGAAAGTTGTGCCCAGGATCGTGTTGCACGCTGAGTTTCCAGTTCCCATGAAAGAAAACAATAAACCACCTGCTGCACAGTGGTTCAAAACTGGCATTCATTCACTTAATTTTTCACTTAATTTTATTAATTTTTCGTTTTTTATAAAAGCCTGCAATATTTGCAAGAGACCAGTTAAACCTGATTTCTAAATTTTTTGATTATATTAAATTTTTTAGTGCAAATTGCAGAAAAAGGAGCAATTTTGAAGCAAATGTATTCTCCTGTTCCAGTTAATAAATGTTACATAACGAAAACTAGTTGAAAACAATTGCATGGTTCTCCCAAAACAAAAAAAAATTGAAATGTTATAAAAAAATGTTCACCAAAATAAATATTTTTTTTTTGGTTTTTAGTAAAAATTGGTTGAATGAATGCTCCTGTGGATTATGAACATTGACTTCCAATTTCGAACCACTGTGTACTGGCTTCGTCGTGCAGTATGAATTAAGGTAAACGCATATTGGTAGCAAAGGATGGCGAAGTCCTTGAAACGGATTTGGCTTAATTTTTCGGTACAGCAGGGGAACTTATACAATTAAATAATATAATTAACTGGAAAATATTTGATTAAAATTACGACATGGGTATGGCATTTAAAACGATTTTTTCTTTTTTGTTCTTTAATTTCTAAAACAATTATTTTTTTATTTTGAAATTTATTTATAATTTTGCTAGTTTCAAATGGATTAACGCAATGACAAAACCGTTGTCATATAAGCGTATAAAGAAAAAGGCGTGAGTACTAGGTACTCATGAAATTTGATGTGTATACATATGCGAACGGCAAAGCATAAAAGTACGTTTACATATAAATATAATCTCAAACAAAGCTCGTTAGCTGTCAAATTGGTTGTGCTTGTTATTCACACAACTCGAGGAAAAGTTAAACTTCTTCTCTGTGCCACCGTGGTCACTTTTCTTTTGCAACACATATTAGGCCATTTAAATATATTTTAACTGAATATTTTATTAAAAATACCTTTACAAACCTATTTTCCTTACTAGCGTCAATTTTTGTTTACTTTAACATTTGACATTCCTCCTCTTCTTCACAAGTATAATCGATAAAACTTGGTTGGACACCGAAAAGTTATCGGTTTAATCTGAGATATTTTTAGTTATAATTTTGCATGGCTAATCTCTTTTTCTAATAACAGATTAGGGAGTCAAGCTCGAAAATTAGGATAATATTTTTATATATAAAGGCGATTCAGTTACACACATACAAATGTAGGTTAGGTTAGAAATTAAACATTAATTTCACTTAATTTTATTCATTTTGCTGATTTAATTTTTTTATTCATTTTCATTTTTAATTCTTTTAATACATGACATTATCGGTATGATTGATAAAATATACTTGTACATATATACTTGTGACTCAAGGGCGTTAAAATATCTTGGAAACACCGCATATAGGTAGATTTTCAAGTTTTATGCGGCAAAAAATATTTTATTGCCTCTATCTACTCAAAATTGTTTATCAAATGTAAAATTGAAATAATTTGTATTACAGATAGGTTATATTAATAAAACATATATACTAGCCAATAATTTACTATTTAAATATATTGACGACCTTTATTTATAAAATGTGTGTACACTATCATTGGTTAATTAGTTTTCGCTTTCAGAATCTTCGCTGGCCTCAAACTATTCCTTTGTCACATCTTTGACAACGGATTTAGAGGGTAACAGCAGCTTTATTGTGTCTGGGGAAAACGATTTGATATTTTTTCTTTTTTTGGTCATGAACCGAAATACTGCTTAAAAACGAGTCCGAGCTCATCAACAGCCGGTTATATATGTCACGGTTACATACTTCACGAGAAAACTTCCGGGAATAATTTTCTCGGTAGTGTTTGTTGTGGGCCTCTTGAGCCTCCCCGATAATTGTCCTATTGTTAATAAGGAATTAGTATCTTGTGCATTGTGGGTTTCATAGGTTGCCATGCCGTCATCGATTCGCCACTTCTCGCTCGCTATGTTTGAGTTCCGGTCGCTTAACGAAAAACTTTGCATGTGAAAGCAACAACAAAGTTAGCTAGCACGGATATACGATAGCAAGTTTGGTTGAACCTCATTGAGTTCGTTCGTTTCGCCACTTGCTAACTGATGGCGAATCGATGACGGCTAATAATCAATTGCAGCGCATTTCCACTTACTATGCATATGCCTAAATGTATGCAACCATTTGGCAAGCGAACACAGGGTGCTTCTAATGAAAATAAAAATTTTATGCTGAAATACACATGCTAAGCCCTTCGAAATTTTGTGCTGGGATATGCGTTACAGCTTTGCAAATTTTACCCCTACCGAAACCAAAGATGTATACACATCAATAAATATGTCATATACTGATTTCACTTTGCTTATTACACTATGAGTTTATCTACCCCTTTCCTAACATTGTGTGTCCCGGTTTCAAGAATGCAAAAGTTGGTAACCCTGGTGATAACATCAAGGCGCACGCCACAAATCGGATGAGAAGGTGGGCCAAATACTAACATGCGTAGGCGCCAACCTATTATTATTAGTTATTATTATTAACAGCATCGAAGACACTTAATTCTTAGGTGGATTTTTATATCAGAAGCTGAATCTTGTGAAAATTGCAGATAAAGGGTATTGAATATAAGCCCTCGTTATGCTTTATGGCCCTTAACTTATTTATTTTAAATTGATAAGTTAAGGGCCCTTAGCCTACTGCTTTATATACATATACACGGTGTCCAAAAAGTACCACGACAAACTTAAGGAGAAGGTAGGTGGGGGGGTGGGCTCCCTGATAAGAACTTATCTTATATAAGTGTCACCGTTTCTGAAATAAGTATATATGTATTGATATTTTTTTTAATAAAAAAAATCGGGCCTCTTAGTGTGTTTTCTTTAACTGCATGTACAAACAAAGTTATAATTCTTAGTTAATTTTTTCTGTAAAATACTTCCAGATAGTTTCTTTCCCATATTCAAACGCAATGTAGTTAAAAGATATAAAGGAAATTATTTCAAAATTAAGGCTATTTTGGGATTTTTAACTTTTTGATATTTTATATATTATAGCCGTTTTGTGGGTAAAAGCTGAGGCACGCTAGAATGTAATTCGTGAAATTGGAGCCTTCGAACATTGTGTTGTTGATACTATGCGGATATTCACCTAATTTGCGGGGAAGCTTGCTATAATACCAGAGCTGCTCAAAAACTCTATGCGGAGCGATACCCCAATCGTTGGCATTCGGATCATGAAGTTTTCTCCCGGACTCATAGAGTTATCAGAAGGTAAGTAAATTTACACGTTTTTTGTTTAAAGTCTTTCTTCTTCTAAGTTTCATTTTTTCTTTTCTTAAGGTCGCATACCTGGAAGACGTGAAGGCGAGACGGGACGTCCTGTAATGGTAGATGTTGTAGTTGTGCTAGAGAAAGTGGAACTAGGTCCATTGACTTCAGTGGGAATGATAGAAAGACAAACTGTATTACCAAAAATTTACGGTTCACAAAGCTTTAAAATATAATCAATTTCATCTCTACCACATTCAACGTGTTCAGGGTCGTCAAGCGAGGGATTACCAGGCGAGGATTAGATTTTGCCGCGAAATTTTGCGAATGTATGCATCAAACCCCAACTTGCTTAATAAAATAACTTGGAGCGATAGATTATCATGCAAACATGATGGTTACTTTTATTTACATAATCTTCATAGTTGGCAGATAGACAATCCTCAAGAAATGAAAAGAGGTCGCTGATAGTACCAGTACAAAATAAATTTATGGTGCGGTATTTTCAATTGCCAGATATTGTTACCTGCCACCAACGCACAACTCCCACTGTTATTTAAAGCTTCTTCAGGAATGTTGTCTTCTCACTATGGGCGTGAAGTAAAAGCTCATTTAGACGAAAGTTAACCTCGAGGGATTGAAAGATCTGAACAATAATGTGCGAGTAGGAGGTCGCCAATTTTGAGCATATTTTGTCAATAAACGAATAAATTTTTCTTCAAACAACTCATGTATATTTTATTTTACGTGAACCCACAGTATACAGTAATCCAGATAGACAAAACAAAAAATGTAAATATGCTTATTTGACAATTTGTTTGAATATGTTGGTTGATATTTTTTCACAGTTGTCGTTTTCGTAAACCAAAATTTAATATTTTCTTAGAGGCTGCATTTCTTTATTCATTTTGAATATTTGGAATAAATTTTCTTGATTACTTATTCTTTAGAACGTTCCTGATGATATGTTAACCAGTGATGGGCAAAATTGTATTTACTAAGTATTAAGTACTAAGTACAAAAGTATTTAGGTATTTTGTGTTGTTGTNGAATTTTCGATACTATTTCGGGGTTTTCGGGAATATTTCGAGATTTTCGAAGCTATTTCAGAATTCTTTAGGGATTCCCGGAAACTTTGTTTGAGATTTTGGGATTCTCGGAACTAATATCGGGATTTTCTAGAGTATGTCGGGACTATTTACGAATTTTTGGGACTTATTTCGGACTTTCGTTTCTGTTTCGAGTTTTTTGGGACTTTCGAGATTCTCGGAACTAAAATCCGTATTTTGGGGACTAATTTCGGGATTTTTGTGACTTTCGGGATTTTTGGGACTCCGGGACTGTTTTTGGATTTTTGGAACTCATTTTGAATTTTTGGGACTTTCGATACTATTTAGGGATTGTCGGGAGTAATTTCGGTATTTTTGGGACTTCCGGGTCTATTTCCAGATTTTTGGGACTTTCGGGACTATTTCGGGCTTCTCGAGAATAATTTCAGATTTTCGATGTA